TGCATGCAGTTTAATATCAGAAATTCTGGCAAAAAGGATACCCTTACCTATTGTACCTTTCAAGTACCTGAGGACTCTGTGTGCTGCAGACAGATGGGCAGTGGTAGGCTTGGAAAGAAATTGGCTTAGAGTTTGAACACTGTAAGCAATGTCTGGCCTTGTGATAGTCAAGTATAAAAGCCTGCCAATCAATTTTCTATAGGTGGTAGGCTCTGTAAGAGAGTCATTTTCAGTATAAGCAGACAGTTTCAGAGTAGGGTCCATAGGGGTAGAAGCAGGTTTACACCCTAAGAACCCTGTATCAGTTAGGATATCAAGAATATACTTCCTTTGGCACATGTTAATACCAATAGGTGAGTGTGCAAATTCTAAGCCAAGAATATACTTTAAAGTGCCAAGATCTTTGATAGTGAAACACTTGTCAAGGTGTGCTTTAATAGCAGAAATATGATCAATATTGTTACCTGTGACAATAATGTCATCAACATAAACTAATAGAGCAGTAAAGGAAGAGTCTGTATGCATTATGAATAAAGAAGTATCAGCCACAGATTGGGTAAACCCATAATCAACTAGACAAGTTGTAAGTTTTGAAAACCATTGTCTAGAAGCCTGTTTTAAGCCATACAAACTTTTGATCAGTTTACAAACTCTAGTATCACCAGGTTTACAATAACCAAGAGGGGGTTTCATGTATACTTCCTCTTGTAAATCACCATGTAAAAAAGCATTGTTAACATCAAGCTGTTGAATATGCCAGTTCTTTATAGAAGCTAAAGCAATTAAAAATCTTACTGTGGTGATTTTTGCAACTGGAGAAAAGGTTTCAAAATAGTCTATACCCTCTTCTTGGGTATAGCCTTTAGCAACAAGTCTGGCTTTGTACCTCTCTATACTTCCATCAGATTTATATTTAACTTTGAAAACCCATTTACACCCAATACAATGTTTATCTGATGGTAAAGAGGTCAAAGTCCAGGTTTTAGTTTGTTCTAGAGCATCTAGCTCTTTTCTCATGGCTAACTGACATTGAGGATCTTTTGCAGCTTGAGCATAAGTCTTAGGCTCAGTAATTAAAGAAATAGATGCTGTAAAACATGAATGATTGGCAGATAAAGAATTAACAGACAGATAAGAGGAAATTGGGTAAAGGGATGTTCCAGAAGTGCTTGGAGAAATGATTGCAGAGTTTGTTCTGGAAGTTGGTAAAGAATGCTGATAAACATCAAGGTAAGCAGGAGGTTTAGTATGTCTTGTTGATCTTCTGAGAGGTGAGGAGTTGTTAGTGGGAATAGCAATGTTATTGGTATTCTGAGTAGTGGATGTAGTGGGTGTAATAGTGGAACTGGGATTCAAGATAGTGGGTGAAGGAGATTGTGATTGATTGTTTGAGTTTAAAGGATTATTAGGAGCAGTAGTGGGTGTGTCCTTCTCAGTAAAAGAAAAGGGCTGAGGTGTGGGAAAAAGTTTTTCAGAAACAGAGGTATTAATAGGATTCATGAAAGGCAAATCATTCTCATAAAAAAGCACATTTCTGGAAATCAATGTTTTCTTGGTATCAAGGTTGTAAAGTTTATAACCTTTACAACCTAAAGGATACCCAAGAAGAATGCATTTTTGTGCTCTAGGTTCAAATTTATGTCTGTGAGATTGTAAAGTGGATGCATAACATAAACAACCTATGACCCTAAGATGATCATATGTTGGCAGTTTATTGAACAGTAATTCAAAAGGTGATTTATTATTGAGAACAGTAGAAGGAACCCTGTTAATAATATGAGCAGCAGCCATGATGCAATCAATCCAAAAATACAAAGGAAGATGTGCATGAAATAATATAGCTCTAGCAACTTGTAATAAATGCTGATGTTTTCTTTCCACTCTTCCATTTTGTTGAGGTGTTTCAACACAACTAGTTTGATGAAAAATACCATTTTTGTGATAAAAATCAGGTAAAAGGAATTCAGTGCCATTATCTGTTCTAATGGATTTGATTTGTTTGCCAAATTGGGTGAGGGTCATGTTATAAAAATTTTCCAGAGATACCTTTGTATCAGATTTTAACTTAAGAGGATAAATCCAAGTTGTCCTACTGAAATCATCAACAATTGTCAAAAAATATTTGTAACCCTCATGAGAACAGACAGAGAAAGGTCCCCAAACATCACAATGTATGAGTTCAAAGGTAGAAGAAGATTGTGAATCACTTAAAGGAAATGGTAGCCTCTTTTGTCTAGCAAAGTGACACACATCACATGGTAATGCAGGTATAGATTTGTGATGAATATCAGAAATGGGTAAATTGAGCAGTCTAGAGTATGAGAGATGTCCTAGTCTGTTGTGCCATGTATAATGTTTTGCATGACTATGTTTGATATGTAAAGAAGGGGATACATGGTTTTGGGATGATACAGGTAATTGAGGGGATACATGGATATTGCATTCATTTGAGGTATTAACAGTATTAACAGAAGAATCAAAAAGAGTAAGATGATAGAGGCCATCTTGTAAATCAGCAGAACCAATCACTTTGTTTGTGGTCAAATCCTGTAGAATGCAGCATGATGACATGAACTGAATCATACAATGAGATGTGGATACTAGTTTTGAAACAAATATCAGATTAATTGAGAAGCTAGGAACATATAAAGCATCATGCAGGGTTAAAGATGGCAATAGATTGATTTGACCCACAGAGCATGCTTCAGTGACATTACCATTTGGCAAATTAATTTTAATGTTGTGAACAGGTTTAGACTGAGTAAAAAAGGATTTATCACAGATCATGTGATCCGTTGCTCCTGTATCCAAGATCCAAGTATTTTTAGATAAAGACCTAGATGCAGAACAAGAGAATATAGCAGGCAAACCTGTAGCAGTATCCACAGCAGCAGCAGTTGCTACCATATGATTGGGTTCAGCAGCTGATTTGGCCTCCTGTAACTTTTTGAATTCTAAAAACTCATGAAAGAGCTGATTAGTCATGTTTGGAGTATCAGATTTGGGAGTATTATCAGTGGGTTCAGTAATGGCTTGAGTGAGATTGGCTGAGTGTTTAGGATGTATCCTAGGACCCTTGGGGCCAACCCAGTTAGGAGGATAGCCATAGACTTGATAACATTTGTCAGAGGGGTGTGGATAACCACAGTGAGAGCATTTAGCCCTTGGTTTCTTGTCTTTTTGGTATTGTGGTTTCTGAAAATTGTTTGGTTGTTGATAAGTTTTGGCAAGCATGGCCATGGGATCAGTAGGTAAGGTATTAGACAGTGATCTCTGGGATTCTTCTTGGAGTATGAGAGAGTAAATTTTGGTGAGAGAGGCATAGGAATCATTTAGGCCAATTAAGAATTTCATCACACAGTCATGTTGCTGAGAGTCAGCCATCAGTTCAAAGATATTATAATTACAAGTAGCAAAAGCACCACAATGACATCGAATAATAGGCCTAAATGTGACATACTCATCCCAAAGTCCTTTAAAGGAGTTATAGTATTGAGTAACAGTGTTAGAACCCTGGTTTATAGTGCTCAAAGATTTTTCTAACTGAAAAACTCGTGGACCACTACTAACTGCATATCGATTTTTCAGCTCATCCCAGACATCTTTGGCAGAATTGATAAACAATAGAGACTGTCTAATATCTTTGGATATGGAATTTAACAGCCAAGACAATACCAGGTTGTTTGCCCTAATCCAGGACACATGCAAGTTAGGGTTATTAACAGGGGATGGGGAAAGGATTGTACCGTCGACAAAACCTCCTTTGTTTTTCACGCTAAGCGCCATGAGAACAGCACGGGACCAGCTGACGTAATTTTCGCCGTTGAGAAGTTCAGCGACTATCAGAGCTCCCGGATTGTCGCTCGCGTGCAGGTAGAAAGGCGATGAAGGATCATCAGTGGGATTTGCAGTAGTAGCCATATCGTTTTGGATGCGAAATCACCAAATTTCAGAGGAAATATAACAGATCTAACAGAAATAGATCGAGATCTTTAGGGTTTCGGAGATTGAAAACCCTAGATAGTGAATCGAAGCAGAAAATAAAGTGATCTCAGAGATGGAGATCAAAAATCAAATGAAAATGAGTGCGTAAGCGAAGAAACAGAGGATCTTTAGGCGATTGATACCATATTAAACTGGAAATCAAACAACAAACTGAAAGATTTTCATTGAACTGGAAATTGTAGAAGATGAACAGAGAGAGAGAGTTTGGGAACGGGAAAATAAAAAGTGGAAAGTGAAGAGACAACAAGTGGTGAGACCCTATTATATCTAGGGTTACCACAATGGCAAAATAGTAAAAATGATATAAATGCCTATAGTTGCTGTTTACAAAAACAACAACTTTAACACAAGTTCTAATATTACAAATGCCTATAGTTGTTATGTAAAATATAACAACTTTAACACAAATTCTAACTACAAATATAAACATAATGTTATTACACGTACTTATATTATAACATGTATGTGTATTCTTTCATTTTTCCAAATATTATAGATGATGGTTATAGACTAGACACGACTAACAACTATATTAATGTAATTACACTAAACTGGGACCGACTGTGCACAGTCGAGACCTCACTAGTCTTATAAACTAAGGAGAGCCGTCAAAAGAACCACAGCCACACCCAAAAGTACACGTACTTTTAACTACGCAGAGCCTTTCCCGGCCCACTGATAATTCGAGAGCTATATCGAAGGCCCATGTGATCGAGTGGCCCACCAGCCGAAATCGGAGATATTATTTCACCCGGCCTCAAAATTGACGACGCAGAGCGACTGAGTCGGTTACGGTAGGCCCCGCCGCACCCAATCACCCACATGCACCTCACGCCATAGCTCCCTTCTTCACATGTAGGTATTGCTGCTTCACTCTTCACAGCACACCAATATCATAATCCAATTTCACGGATATCTTGGCACCTTGGACTCAGTGCCGATAGGAAAATTTGTTTGAATTTGTATGATCGAAGATAAAAAGAGGTGGAATTATAATGGTTTATACGCTGCCTGGTGCGCGCCTGCCGGCTGTGCCGTCGGTGTTCAAGCTGGGGAGTGAGCGGCGGAGCTCGAATGCTGATAGGAGGAGTGACAATCTCTGTTTTTTCCTGAAAAACAAGCCCAATTCGCGTGAGTGAGATCCCCATTTCATTTAGCTTGATATGTGTATGTCTGCCTTTTCCGTTTTCTGGTGTCCTTTTTGCTATTGGATTTAATTCGCGTTCGTTCTTCTTGCTCAAGTGGTGCTTTTTCTGTTTTTACTAGCTTTTTAGTGAGTTGATTTTGTAGCTGAACTGAGTTGATTTTGTAGCTGAAGTGTATTTTCACCAGCGATAAAGCCTCCATATGATATGGAATCGGGTTCAATAGCTGAATACCAGTAGTGGTTGATTTTTTATTTTTTATTTTTTTAATTCTTAATGGATGTAGAGCCATCGATCATCTTTTGTCTTTTTAGTTTTTGGATCTTTGATAATGTCAAATGTGGTGGTCCGCTTACAACCTTTAATTTTTCTTGATTATTGTCACTTGTATAAATGAAAATGAGATTTCTTCCTCATAATTGAGGCGGGCGACGGTAAACGTTTGTCCAATTCAATTGATTTGACCTTTTTAAGTTTAACGGAGAATACCGAAGGATAAGACTGAGTGTGGTTATTGCATACTATTGCTGATTGCTTTGATTTTCTATGTGGTTGAAGTTACAGTAAAAGGTTGCTCCTGCCATTTTAACTCCACTCAAATTACCATAAGATATCGTACACTTACTACTGCATTGGAAGATTTAGCAAAGTACTCTTCTTTGCAGGAAAGATTTTTTGTGGGAAGCGTTACGAACCTGATTATCAATCTCCTATGGCAACCACATCTGAGAAAGTCCTTGTTCCAGGCATTGAGAGTGAGAGCACCTCATCTCCATCAGAGAAATTGGTTGTCCCTGATGAAGTGTCAGATAATTCTAAGGCATGTCAGCATTGAAACCTTGTTCTTAAATCAAAGCTCTTACATTAAGACATTGAAAGAAATCAACGATGCCATGTTTTTGAAAAATGGATTACTAATTTTCAAAAGCTCTAGTTGAATTTTGGGACTTCAGTTTTGTGTGGTTATGTGTAAACCTACTATAAAGGAAAATAGTTAAATTTATTTATAAATTAGCTGAGTTTTACATTTAATAAGAATATAATCTGTTGGTTGTGGAAGTTGCTTGCGTAGTCTCTATAAAAGTCATAAGGATGTTTGCTTAACTAGCACTAGCAGTACTGATAGTTACAGACTTACAGGCCGCTAAATTTTGTGGTCCTATTGATTCTTTAATGTTTCTATCAGAGAATGGTAAGTTTAGTCCATATTCTTGTTGAACACATAGTGCTAGGATCATGTTTCTTGTTGACGATGAAGGCGCTTGTTTTCCATGTTTCTCCATTTTGACATTTGTCTCATTTCTGAAAGCCAATAGAGAAAACTGTAATATAGGGCAGTGAGGCGTTGAGTTTAGTGAACTGGGATTATGCTATCCATGGCTTCATTAACTGTGTAGTAGCTTATAAGAAGTGACATCCAGTTATTTGATTACGAACTTCGTTTTGTAGAGAAAAAGAGATGCATTCTAAGTCTCAATGTCATATAAGCTCAAAGTAGAACTAACCCTTGAAAGTTCATATACATTTAAGTGCAATTGACCGGGATATCATATATGCTTTATTTGTTTGTCTTACATGTTAATCGTTCATGTTAACACCGCAATTTATCTTCATTATATTTCCAGAAGCATTTTCAAAACAGTATACTTCCTCTTCCAATTGATATTACTTGCCTTGTATCATTTTTTGTGCTAGATATCAGGTGATATAGACAGCATGGAAACTGATCTAAGGATGGAAATTGAGGATCAAGAAAATTTGGTTGACCAGCGAACTCCTGTTGATTCCATTAGAAGCGAAAACTCTACCTTTGTGCAGCTACAAGATGGACTTAGCGAATCAGAAGATGAAGGAACATCATACTCGACATATGAAACAATAAGTGATGAATCTTCAAGGGTCAGAAAAAAGGTCATCCCTCCACCTGGAAGTGGTCAAAGGATATACGAAATAGATCCACTTCTGATCAATTACCGTGAACATCTCGATTATCGGTAAAACTTTTTCATCATTTTACCTGAATGATACGTGGAAATTATCAAAAATTTTCAATTTATCCTGGTTCATGAAATATTTTATTTGTGTGAGAATATTTTCATTTGGAATTTAAAATCTTCCTTCATTTTTCTTGTCTTTTTTAAAAGATGTTGCACGTCAGGATCCTTCTCACTTTTGAGTTTTCCATGGGAGGTTTCTAAAATCCATAACCATTTTTGGGAGAATTGATGAAGCTACTTATGTGAATTTTATATTTCGGTCTCACTATACTCGCTGGTTTTACAGGTATAGCCAGTATAAAAAGCTACGTGAAGCAATTGACAAGTATGAAGGTGGACTAGAAAAATTTTCTCGGGGTTATGAGAAACTTGGTTTTAATCGCAGGTGTGTGATCATTCTGCTGAAAATTGTTTTTTTTTTTTCTTGTAAACACCCTAGACTGCTTTCTTTGACAATCACAGTTTCACAGTTGTAGCACCTACTGAACAGAATCTTTTATGTGCGTAATGGGTTACTGTTTTCGTGTATTTTATTCTGTAACTATTTTCATTGTTGACAATATATAGCCATAGGGATGGAGTATGTTTCTTTTGGCAGTATTACTGCTAAAGGAAGACAAGTTTTTCTTCTTCCTTCTTCTATCAAACAACTATTTGGAAGTTCTACTCTATGTAGTTTGGTTTATCCCTCTAACATGACAACCAACCATTTACATCATAATAAAACACCTCTTACAAAACCATTGCATGAGACAATTCTGTGAGTATTTGTGGGACAGAAAGAAAGTAATGTGGGCTCGTCAGAATTTTGAAGGCAAAGGGACTACAGCCATATTAGATGAGGATAGATATGAGATCTAGCAGCCAGAATTTTATCTCAGCTGAGGCCTCGCTATAATTAGGTTATAGTCGTAAGATATTTGATGAAACCGTTGCTGGAATTGAGAAGTGTGTTTGAAGTTCTTATGATGTTGTGTTTAGTCATCCTAAGTGTGAATCTGTAAATTGGGTTCTAAGTATGTGAATTCTAATTTCCTCTAATTTTGTATTTTGCCAGTGAGACAGGTATCACTTACAGGGAGTGGGCACCTGGAGCCAAGGTTAGTGCCTGTTTATCATTTTGCTATAGCAAGAAATAAACTTCTAATGTAGTTTCATTCGTCTAATATTTCTCCCTTAGGGCATGCTTGTTTACCAAAAAATTTACTCACGTTTAATTCATACTCAAAATCTAACTTAACTGTAACTCAACCCCACTATCCTTAATATTATTCATATAATTAAATAATACAAACCAATCATTCTTACGCATCACATCAATTTTAATTCACTATTCATTCACTCACATAATTTTAACTACCTATCATTTTCAATCATTTATTCCTACTTTTACATCAAATCAATATAATATATTATTTTAATACATTCTTAAAATCCCACTAACAACTAACTATACCACCTTTTTCAAAATTAACTCTAGTTAACCAAAATAACTCATTTTGAATGGATTATTTGGTAAACAAGCATACCCCTAGCATTTGTTCAACCCGCAGTCTTTCAGATTCATATTTGCTCCGAAAAATACTGACAAGAACTCATATTTATTCTTTTAAATTTTAGTAGTTCTCCTGAAGTGTGTGATTTCCAGGAAACAAATTGACAACACAGACCAATGCTTTTGTGTCTAAATGCTGTTTGGTTATCAACTACCATAATTGTAGTCTGAAGTAAACTCATTCTCAATATCTTGTAAGGGTAGAAAGTACAAATATATATGCAACTCTAGGAGAAAATCAAAGAAGGAAACAACAATCACAAACCCTAATCTACCGGAATACAATAATCCCTTTAATTTGTGCTCTAATCTATACCACATATACACACACTCATTAACCACAACAGCAACAACAATGCTTATAGTAGTAGTAACCACCACCACCATAGTTTCCTTGTTATCAAACTTATTTTATGAGTATTACTGTTTTCACTATGATTGTTAATGTTTCTACTGTGTCTCTGACAGAGGGCAACGCTAATTGGAGATTTCAACAATTGGAATCCTAATGCTGATGTTATGACTCGTGTAAGTTGAACTTTCTTCCTTGATAATGGCTTAATCATTGAGAAAAACTCTTATTTAGTTCATTGACCAAAGTTAGTAAGTTTCTATTTTTTCCTATAAGTTGTAAAACAATTTTTCAGTTAC